AGGAGCTCACAGTCCAATGGATTTTATCTGAAGATATGTCACAGAAGTTTCACAACTAATTTTGATATGTCATCTATCACTTTAAAAAAGGACATCACATAATTAAGCAGAAATATGTGTTACAGCTCCAGTTTATTGCTGGAAAAGGTCAGGCTGTCACTCAAGGAGTTTAGGATGAGGTAAAGTATTTATGGGATTCTCTCTCCTAAAAGTCTGTCCAAATTAGAGTAGTCATTGAGTATTTAATAGATGTTTGATGAAAAAAGGTATGAAAAGATAAATTCTAAAGCACCTCACAAAGAACTCTATACCCTGGATACTCAAATAATAACTGAAGATGAAAACATTCTCCCCATATCCTGTCAAGGCAGCATGAATAGCAGGTAGAATAGATCCGGGAGAATCTCAGGAGAGCACTATCTTTCCTCCCTAAAACCTCTCCTCTTCTGAATTTCTATTATTTCTACTTAACGCACTGCCATCCCTCCAGTCTCTTAACCTCAGCATTATCCTCCACTCCTCATTCTCCTTTTACCCCACATATCCAATTGGTAGCCAAATCTTGTCATTTCTATCACTACAACATCTCTTGCAGCCAAGCCCTTCTCTCCAGTCCTGCAGTTTTGAGCTTAGTTAAGGCCCTCATCACATCTTGCTTCCTAAATGGTGTCCCTGACTTGTCTTTTCTCTTGCCAGTCCATCCCTACACTCTGCTGCCAAATAATTCTCCTTAAACACAAATCTAACTACGTGACTGCCCTGTATTCAATAAATTCTGGTGACTTCCCATTGCTTCTTAAGATAAAATAGAAACTCCTGCTGAGCTTTTAAAGCTCTACACAGTACAGCTACAACCTATTTTTCCAAGCTTTATTGGACACCACTCTTCCTCTTGCACACTGTAATCCAGTTAAACTAGGCTGCTGCTCCTCACGTACAGCACCCCATCTCCCATCTCTACACTTCTGCACCGGCTGGCTCCATATGCCTGGAATTTACTCCCTCATTACTTCTACCTCATAAGTTTCCCTCTTCCTTTAAAATGCAGCTCAAATACCATCTTCTGCATGAAGCCTTTCCTGATCCACACAACACTGCTCACCTTTCCATACCTTCCATTCAATTACTTTGTACACATTTGTATTTAACTTTATACTTGTGAATATTTTTATATGCACTTGTTCTACCATTAGAACATAAGCCACTTGCAATTAGGGAGCTTAATTATTTGTACTTGTATCCCTAGTGCCTGACATGGTAGGAGCTTAGTGAATACTCACTGGGTAACTGATTCCCCTTTCTATCTCTACCCATCACGTCTCATCTAGTTTTTGAAAAATCAAGGATAATTTACTATAATCCATAAACAAACAAAATTCTCACCTGTCATGCTAATGACCCTTCCATTCTCACCCAGATACATATTGGTGAATGTGCTAGAATCATGAAACCAAAGAATTTAGAGCCTTTAGAGAACTAGTCCAATCACCTCAATTTGCAGATGAGGAAACTGAGGTCCAGAAACATGAAGAAATGGGTCTGAAGTTGCACAGGTATTAAATAGCACAACTGGGATTTGAACCCAGGTCTTCTGACTCCAAATCCAATGCTTTTTCTACTGTACCACACTGAGAACTCAAAAGGTTCAACACTGGAGAGACTATCCATGGGCATTTGATCCAATTCTCAATAGGACATGTTTATACCAATTCATATAGCAGGTTTAAAGTTTACAAATTGCTGACCTTACAGGAACCCTATGTGGTAGGTAGGCTCAGAGAGATTCTAACTTGTTCTGGGCACACATGGCAAGAGACCATTGCAAAATTAACATGGGAATATCATCTATGTCATCTTCCTCTGCACTTCCCAAACCATCAGAATATACCAACCTTATTAAATATAGTTCAGAGTCAGTCTTACCAAAAGAAGAAGTAGAGGGAGAGCTTAATCTTGCTTTACCAAGACTTACTAGGTTTATACAAGGACACACAAGAGCAGACTTGTTGGATTTATACAAGGACCCTACAAAAGCAGGGTCCTTGTATGAATGGAATATAAACAAGGTCACCTATCAAAGTAGAAGGAGAGATTTGAGCTCTCAAATGTTTGTTGTTTTTTTTTGTTTTTTTGTTTTCTTTCAGGGATTATTCTGCCACCTACAGTTGGAAAGTACTTTAGAAACCAGACATGGTAACCAAGGTATCTCTGGCTAATTTCCTAAATGGTTTGAATACTTTTTTTTTTAAGTCAGGAAGGGTGAGAAGGGTCAAAAGATTAAAGAAAGAACCATGTTGAGTCAAGAGAATAAAAAACTACAACCTATCAATCTATTTTTGGGGGATGTGGGGATGCTTTTTTGTCTTCCCTTAAAAAAAATTCCACAGTCTCTTTAAGTAGGGGAAAGGATGGCAAAAGGATCAGGCCAGGTAATGACAGTACAACTCATGACATCTGTGACACAAGGAAGCCTGTCACTCAATTTCCCCATCCCTGGGTTTAAAGGTAACTTTTCAGAGAAGGAAAGAGCTGAAAGAAATATTTCAGTTCAGTCTTAGAATCTCTAAGCAATTTGGAACAATGCCCAAAGGGCTATAAAACTGCATACCCTTTGAAAATCCAGCAATACCACTACCAGGTTTGTATCATACAAATGGGAAAAGGACTCACATGTACAAAAATATTTATAGCAGCTCTTTCTGTGGTGGCAAAGAATTGGAAATTGAGGGGACGTCCATCAACTGGGGAATGGCTAAACAAGTTGTGGTATATGAGTGTAATGGAATACTATTGTGCTATAAGAGATGATGAGCAGGCAGACTTCAGAAAAACCTGGAAGGACGTGGATGGACTGATGCTGAGTGAAGTGAGCAGAACCAGGAGAACCTTGTACACAGTAACAGCAACAATGTGCAATGACCAACTTCGATAGACTTAGCTCTTCTCAGCAATACAATGATCCAAGACAATTCCAAAAGACTCATGATGGAAAATGCTATCCACATCCAGAAAAAGAACTATGGATCCTGAAAGCAGATTGAAGCATACTATTTTCACCTTTTTTTGTTTTTTCTTTCTGGTGGTTTTTTCCTTTTATTCTGATTCTTCTTTCACAACATGGCTAATATGGAAATATGTTTAATGTGATTGTATATGTATAACCTACATCAGATTGCTTGCTGTCTTGGGGAGGGGGAAGGGAAGAAAGAAAGAAAAATTTGGAACTCAAAATCTTACAAAAATGAATGTTGAAAACTATCTTTTACATGTAATTAGAAAAAAATACTATTAAGTAAAAAAAAAAAAGAACCTCCCATATATATATATACACATATATATATGTGTGTATATATATATACATATATATGTATATATATGTGTATATATATATATATATGATACAAAGAGAATGCCTAAATTCCATGTTCACTATGGATGCACCAAGAATGTTGAAACAGGTGACCATCTCCAGCTTCTTCCAACAGTAGGGTCAAGAAATCACTGTTTTATGGGACAGATCCATTATAGAATTTCTTGTTCTTTTCTAAGTTGAAAACAAATGGTGGCATAGTGGGTTCAATATAAAAAATGGTTCAAAGAGAAAGGTAAAGTGAGATAAGAAAATCGATCAATTGCTATGAAAAATCTTCTTGATAATGAGCTTTAAAACACCACCATGTCCTGTCTATATAGGGAATGGCTTACAATTACTTTGGTGACCAGTTGGAAAGCACGCTAGAAAACTCAGCTTTGACAGCTGTCATTAAAGAAAAATAGACAAGTGAATAAAGTTGAGGAGATTCAGGGTGCTAGGTGTTTTTTCTTCAGAGGAACTGGTTTTCCCTTGTGTCTCCTGTATGCCCTCTTTATCCTCTTAATTTGCTTAATGCTTTAAAAGGCAAGAAAGCTAACTGAAATATACTAAGTATAAATATTTACTGATTCTTTAGAACATGGTAACTCAGACCACATCTATGGTAGAGGTTCTCAAAGTATGGTCTAGGGATCTCTGGGGTCCCTGAGACCTTTTCAGGAGGTTCTCAAGGTCAAAATTATTTTCATAATAATACTAAGGTATTTTAATTTCTAGTACAGTAAATATTAGTAGATATAACCCATATAAACAAAAACATTTTTTGTCATCTAAGACAATTCTAAAAGACTCATGATGGAAACTACTATCCATATCCAGAGAAAGAACTATGGAGTCAACGCAGATCAAAGCATGCTATTTTCACCATTTTTTGTTTTTTTTTTTCTTTCTCTTGGTTTTTCCTTTTGTTTTGATTCTTTTTTCACAACATCACTAATGTGAAAATATGTTTAATATGATTGTACATGAAAACCTACATCAGACTACTTGCCATCTTGGGAAAGGGGGAGTGAAGGAGGGGGGAGAAAAAAGTTTGGAACTCAAAATCTTATGAAAGTGAATATTGAAAACTTTCTTTACATGTAATTGGAAATAATATAATACTATCTAAAAAAGAAAATAAAAAAAGAAAACAAAGAAAATATTTTTAAAAATATACTATTGTGGACTAATATTCAGGAAAAAGACTGTGAGGGACTTCAAGAGGTAACTGTAATCTTTAAGAGAATCTAAAGATACATTTTGAGAGAAGAGATTTTTTATTTTATTCTGTGGAGAATTCCTTATTAATTTTAACTTCCATCCTGAAAGAACTCAATCTTGAGTGTTGGAGGAGTCAGAAGTTACAGCTGTTGGTGTGAAGTGATGTTGGCTATGACCTTTCTCACTGTCAATACATTGTTGAAATAGTATATTTTTGTTTGTATTAATGGTTACTTTTAATAAACTATATGGCTAGTTAAAAAACATTTGGGAGGATGGGGGACGGGGGGTAGGAATCCTCAATAATTTTTAAGAGTGTAAAGGGATTTTGAGACCCAAAAGCTGGAGAACTGATAAACTCTAGATTCAAAAAAGCAAAGGAAACATTACACACTAGAAGTAAAACAAATGCTTTTATTGCACATTTATAAAATCTGCATAGTTGTATCAAGTGTTCTTCCCTCCCATCTCTTAGCCATTTATCCTTACAATTTGGTTAAAACACAATACCCAAACAGGGGATTTGAAAAAATGGTGAACTAGGAATTTTTTCTTCCACAATACCCATCCTTTAGAAAAAAAAAAAAGATAAAAATGTTCATTTGTGCTTTCATCCACTCTGGACACCTACTATTGATATCAGTAAAATATTTCCAGATGCTAGAAAATCTCTAAATGGTAAACTATCATCAAAATACTATTGTGGGTAGTCAAGCTTTAAATGCTGTTCCACATAGTCTCTTTCACTCAATCAGAGCCAAGTATGAGGTTTTCTGATTTATTTCACAAAATAAAAAAAGGGGGAAAAAATAAGGAGGCACCCTCCCTTTATGATTTTCCAGTGATCTCAGTGACACGCACAGTAGCTCCATGTGCTATCCTACACCTAGAGGCCAATGGCTCTTCAGCAACCCAACTCTGACACCTCCTGACAGAACATTGGCAGGTGTTTTTTTTTCCTGTCTCTTGCAATTAAGAATTTTAAAGGTGTCTACTGTGCGTATTTGATAAAATAACTGGTAGCTGCTCATCTGAGTTAGGCTCTGAATCACTCTTCTACTTTGCTGTCAAAAACATTTATGCCTGGAGGACATTAAAAAAAAGTGGCAAGTGGCTTAGACAAGCCCAAGCATTTTTGTACGTACAAAGGGCACATGATGTCCCCTGTAAGAAGCTGTGACCTTAGTAGTGGTTCCTGCCCCTTGCTGTAAAATAGCTCTTAAAACTGTGTACCTAAAAGTGCAATATTGCTTTTAATCCTCTACACACACAGTACAGTTGGGGTTGGATCCAAATCTCACTTGTCCAACTATTTCCCTCCCTGAGGTGAAAACTGTGACAAGATGATTCTGTGCAGCAGTTGGGTGACCAGAGACCATGTTGGGCCATGAGCAGAAAGAGGCTTACTTCACCGTCACAGCTGAAGCCCTCTGGATGGACTCCATGACTGCAGCAAACCTGCTGCAGAGGTCATAGGGGGAGTTGGGGCGGATGGTTGGAGGCTCTTTCAAGACGATGATTTCCGCAGAGGGATCTAAAAGCCTGGGGAGAAACTCCCCAAGTCTCAGCTGGAGGTTTTCTGTGGAGGGAAGAGTTAGTGGTTAAATCAATAGCCAAAAAAGAGTAACTCTGGCGGACAGACAACAGACTAGTGCAGGGATGGGGGACCAGCGGCCTCCAAACCACATGCAGCCCTTTAGGTCCTTGGGTGCAGCCTTTCACTGAATCCAAGTCTTACAGAACAAATCCTTTTATTAAAACAATTTGTCCTCTGAAGTTTGGACTCAGTCAAAGGGCTGCATTGGAGGACTCAGAGGGCCACGTGTGGACTCAAGGATTCCCACCCCTGCAGTAGTGACTCTACTATGAGATCTCCAAGGAGCCAGTGAGGTACCTAACAACACAAGCGTAGAGTCAAAGCTCCAAGTGCTTTTTGCTTTTTGGAAGGGAGCAGCTGGCTCTCTGAAATTAAATAACAACGACCTTGGGCTAACCTCAGAGCAAAAACTTGTTTTCCAACCACAAAAGAACCCTAACCCCTTGCTTCCCCCTCCTCCATCCCCCAGAAAAAAGACGCCTATTTTACAACCTGTCGTATAGACCAGATCCCTCATTCTTCATTTTACAATTCAATGGATCTCATATTCTACACCATAATTTCATACTTCATACTGTCTTCTTTCAAATGATTAAAATAGATCATTGTGTATTCATTCCCACAGAGGAATCTAAGTAAAGCTAAATCATATATGATTTGAATGACATCTGAAGGCATGGGAAAAATAGTTTCTAATCATTATAATTCACAATAAGATACTTCCATATAATTGATAAGGTCAATTCAATGCCTTTTACATTTACAAAACAGCATCAAACTGAGTGAGCCTTTCCCCCATACACCAGTCTTTCCTTAGCTCTGCTAAAGATGACAAGATTTCTGCCCTCCCTCTAAAACTCCAAGATAGAATTAGGGGAAGAGGAGAGTCCCTTTACTAATTTATTCTTCTTGAACTCATCACAGTAGGAACTGATTTCCGTTTTTAACTTCCAGATTATGTTTCTGGACACAGGCACCTGTAAACTCAGGGATCAAGCTTGTGTATTATATTTTAGTATCCTTTATAGTTGATAATATAGAGCATTTAATTCACAGAACTGTTCAATCTCAGGGGAGTCCAGACCCTGGCAATTAGGTACTTGAAAACAAACCTGGTATTCTCGCCAAGGGTAAATGAAGGTCATCTCACTGACCTTTGGAAGCCTTAACTGCTTCTAGAAATCAGATGAAGAGCTAAAAAACAACCTACCAGCAATATCCTGCCCAAGGTAAGAGCACCAGTGGTTCCTCATGATCTCAATAGCAGCCAAGTCATCCTTCGAGATGTCATTATTTATGATGAGATGAATGCAGGGAATGATCAACTCATTCATGACATTGATGCCTTCAGTCACATTGAGCTCCTCATTGGTTTCAAACAGAGAAGCTGCCATACTGTTCAGTTTCTACAGTTAAAAGACAAGACAGGAAGAAGTTAAACATCAATGAAGAAAAGTCTACACTGCCTCTTCAAGGCCTCAGATCACCAAATGTACTGCATATAGAGAAAAGGTACCTTCTCAGTCTGAAGGGCTCAGGCAAACATTTACATTCCATGCTTGAGAAAAATGACTGTGCCTCTTTAAAAATTCAGATCTACCAGTTCAATAAAGACCTGTATCTCAACTCCAAGTGTTCAAATAATAGCTACACTGGATTCAAAAGTTCAAGTAAAACCAGAAACCTCAATGGATGGACAGATCTCACCACTTAATACCCTCTTTTATTTAATTTATTAACAAGGCATCAGTAGAAGAAAGACTGAACTCCTTCATGTTAAGGAAAAATCTGTCAAGGTACTAGAAAATGCAACTGACTTAAGAGCAAGCAATTAACAAGCATTTTTAGATTTCTCTTAATGAAAAGCACCTTTTGGGGAAAGGGGAAATTTTTTTTATAGCTGCTGAATTCAAAAGAAGCCTGGATTGGAGATGGATCTTTTATGACACATGACATAGGCAGAGAAGCAGGACTAATTTAGAGTTTAATGCTTCCAACAAGTCACTGCAACTCACTCTAGTGCCATGATTCTCAAGTTTTTTGGTCTCAGGATCCCTTTACATTTTTTTTTCTTTTTCTTAACTTTTACTAACACGTTTTGTTTTTTATATCACTATATATTGCCCCAATCTTTCCCCCTTCCAAAAAAGCCATCTCACATAATAGTATTTTTTAAAGTAAGAAAAAGGGAAAGGAAAGGATCAGCATAACTGCTCTATAGATCAAAAAGTCTAAATGTATGTATGATGTGCAACTCTTGTAGATCTCCTAGCTCTGCAAAGGAGACCCCATTACCTTCTTAAAAATTACTGAGGGCATCTCAAAGAACTTTTGTTAAATAGGTTATATCTATCTATATTTACCATATCAGAAATAAAACACCTTAGTAGTATTATTATTATTATAAAAACAGTTTTGACTTTCAGGACCCCTAATAGAGTCTTGGGAACCCCTAGGTCTCTCAAGGTCACACTATAAGAACTCTTGCTCTAGTCTAATGTTGACTATCTTGACCAGGCTGTTAAGGTACACATCTAAAAAACGGGGAAGTAGCCCAGGAGCAATCCTTTTGATCATTTCAATAAATTGTCAACATGTCAACAAGCATTTACTAATCACTTCTGTGCCAAGCATTGTGCCAAGTACTGGGGATACAAAGAAAGGGAAAAAAACAGTCTCTGCTCACAAGGAGCTCACAATCTAATGGGGGAAACAACATGCAGACAACTATGAACACACAAGATATAGAAAGGATAAATTAGAGATCATCTCAGAGGAAAGGCCTAAGATTAAAAGGGATCAGGAAAGGCTTCTTAGACAAGGTGAGATTTTAGTGGAGACTTGAAAGAGTCCAGGAAAGCCAGGAGGCAGAGATGAGTTACAGGCATGGGGGCAGGAAGTAAAAACTCTCAGTGTCGGGAGTATCTTGTGAGAGGAACAGCAAGAGGGCCAGTGACACTGGATCACAGAGAATATAAAAGAAAGGAATGTGTAAGAAGACTAGAAAGGTAGAAAGGAGCTAGGTTATGAAGGGCTTTTAAAAACAAATACAGAATTTTATATTTGATCTTGGAGGTAAAAAGGAATTCCTGGCGTTGGCTGAATACAGAAGGCAACATGGTCAAGCTTACACTTCAAGAAGATCAATATGACACCTGAATGGAAAATGGATTAGTGGGGAGAGACTTGAGGCTGGGAAGACCCACCGGCAGGCCACTGCAATAGTCCAGGCATGAGGTGATGAGGGCCTGCACCAGAGTGATGGTAGTATAAGAGGAAAAAAGGGAGCCTACTCCAGAGATGTTATGAAAGTATAAACTATTGGACTTGACAAATGATTGGATACAGGGAGGTAAGAATGAGGAGCTGAGGATGACACCTAGATTGTGAGCCTGGGTGACTGGGAAGATGGTGGTACCTTTGACAGGAAGAGGGGAGGGTTCTGGAGGAAAAATAATGAGTTCAGTTTTGGAAATGTTGAATTTAAGATGTCTAAAAGACATCTAGTTGGAGATATCCAATAGGGAGTTGTGAGGAGATTAGGAGAGAAGTTAGGGCTGGATGAGTAGGCCTAAGAGTCATCTACATAAAGATAATGGAAACCATGAGAGCTGATGAAATCAACAAGTGAAATAGAATAGAGTGAGAAGAGTGCACTCTGAGGGATCATCTAAGGAGATTAGAAAAGGAGCAGCGGGATAGGTGGAAGAATCAGGAGAAAGCATTGTCATGAAACCCTAGAGAGAAGAGAATGAAGGAGAAGAGGATGAAGAATAGTGTCAAAGGTTGCAGAAAGGTCAAGAAAAATGGGGATTGAGAAAAGGCCATTAAATTAATAGGTATGAATGTGCTCTCATCTTGTCTCAGGTACAGAAGGGAGATGGAAAAGCAAGTCTGAACACATAAAAATAAATTGTTTCTTCTGTAGAGAGACTCCCTTGAGAAAAGTCTAAAATCTATTAGGAAGACGGTTGTTATTTTATACTACCATTTTTTTTTTTTTGCTGCAGGGAACAAAAATGTAGAAAGTTTAAAAAAAAATAATCTCAGGCCTCACAGCCAAAAACAATACAAACCAGAAGGCATTTTCTTCGATACAAAGCGATCACTGATTCCTCCACTCCTCTGCTAGGCCCCTTCATTAGCAGGGCTGCGTTACTCTGGTATGCATACACCAAGTAGGAAAGAGCTTCATGGCACCTAGAAGACGATGGAGAACTAATGACTGAAATGTTCAATGTCTCCTTATCTAAAACTTAAACTTTACAAAAACTCAGATAAATGACCAGTTTTTGGTTTGTTTGTTTCTTTGAGGAGGGAGGGGGAGAGAAGGAGAGTAGCAGAAAGGGAAGCAACACAGAGTCAAAGGAAATAACATTGGACTAGGAGTCAAGAGACCTGGTTCCTAGTCCTGGCTCTGCCACGAAGTAGTTAAAACCTTAAGAAAATTACTACACTTCAGTTTCTTCTTCTGTACAACGAAGGACTTTGACTTGGTGATTTCTAAGGTCTTATCCAGATATAGCATTTTATGATTTAGTCTCTAAGTTTACTCTCAGTTATTATAAAGAAAGCCTGGGATGTATCACAGCCAGTTGGATAAGTTAGTGAAGGCAAAGTCTGCCCAGCCTTATCTGCTAACAGGTGAGGAGTGAGAAGAGAGAACATATGTGACATGTTGAGTTACTACTGACATCCAGAATTAAGAGACCAAAGGTGCCAGTGTCACCTGGAATGGGGAAGAGATGCAGAGCTGCTATGTAGGACATTCATGGGTGAAGATTCAAAGTATCACTATCATCAATCAATCAGCAAGTATTTATTAACTGCCTACTTCATGCGAGGCATTGTGCTAGGTGCTAGGGGTACAAGTACAAAGAATGCTAAACAAAAAGCAAACATACTTTCCATTCTGATAGAGTTCCAAGCCTGTCAAAAGATACACAGATACTTTGCGAAACAAACTGTAATCTTCATGCCATTTCTGTAAAGGAAATAAATATCAGTAACATTTTAAATTACCAGGAGAGCATTTCCGTAATTTCCAGTGTGGTAACAGCAAAAAACGAAAAACAAACCAAAACATCCTTCAGGCAAAAATCATAAGATTCAGAAGAAAGTTTAGTTTTAGCATTTTTATTCAAATTTTCTGTTGATGACCCACTGTACAGGTCACAAGGAACATCAGGTAGTACAAAGCCTCTCAACAACTTGAATTCACCTTAGCAATGTGAATTTTAGCAATGAAAATAGCCCTAGAGATCATCTAGTCCAGCTCCTACAGCTCCTCAATTTGATAAATAAAATGAGGCCTAATAAGATTAAGTGACTTGTCTAATGTTATATAGCTAATTTGCAGCAGAGCTTCAGATTATTATTACTATTTTTTTGTTTTTTTGCTTTTTGGTGAGGCATTCAGGGTTAAGTCACTTGCCCAGGGTCACACAGCTAGTAAATGTCAAGTGTCTGAGGTCGGATTTAAACTCAAGTCCTCCTGACTCTAAGGCTGAAACTCTATCCACTGTGCCACCTAGCTGACCCTAGAGCTTCAGATTTTATTTCCTTAACTTCCAATAACTGAGACAAGCACATCCAGCCTTGGATTCAGGAGTGGATTTTTAAATTTTGGCAGAGACCCATTCGGCTGTAGGGAAGACGTCAGGATGTGACAACTCCTAGTCATTCATAAAATACTCATTCAGCTTTAGCTAATCAAAGAAAGAAACTAATGTGTGACTGGATGGTTCGATGCAGTGGCCAAACCAAGCAAATTTCAGGCAAAGTTTATTCTTTTTTTTTTCCCGCTTTTTTTTTGGTGAGGCAATCAGGTTAAGTGACTTGCCCAGGGTGACACAGCTAGTAAGTGTCATGTGTCTGAGACTGGATTTGAACTCAGGTCCTGCTGACTCCAGGGCACAAAGTTTATTCTTTAGTTGGATGGAATTACCTCCAGAGTACAGAATTGAGAGCTATGGTAAAATAAGATTTCTCTGTGGGTCACCATCTAAAAAGTAAATGGACTAAAAACCTCATTACCAAAAAATCATTTTAAATCACAGTATGTTTTATTTATTAATGCTTAACATTGTACAGATCATCAGAAGGCCCTTGTTAGAAATCTAGACCATAAAACTGAGCTCAGATTCATAGAAGGTATAGGTAACAGAAGTGTTATTCTGTTAGGAGAGATCACCCAAAACTATAAAACCTTAGAAATCTAGTCTAACCAACTAACTTTATGAATGAGGAAATGAAGACTCAGAAAAGTAAAATGACTTTGTCCAAGGGCACACAACAGTAAGTGGTAGAGATGGGACCAGAGCTGCTATTTCCTACCCTTCAGTGAAAACTTAAGATTTCATCTGGGAAAAACATATGGAGAAAAAAACCACATCACTTAAAGGGAACATGGAGCCCTTTCTGAGTTCAGATCAGGTCTGCCTCAGTTACCACTAAGCAGATTTAATATTCTGGTTTATAGATACCCTGGGAAGACGACTTTACCTTGTATTCTTCCATATTCATGTCATCTGGGCCAATCTCCTTTAGTTTAGCTTGAGCCACCTTCATGATACTAATTGATCTGTTTTGATAGAGAACACGGAGAAATGAGAAAGTAAAGTGCAAACTGGCTAGTCACCCCCAAAAGCTGCAGGTCACTCAAGGGCAGGTGGTGTTTCTCCTGCGCACCCTCTCACCTTTCATCATAGCTGAGGTTTTTATCCGCAAACTGTTCCAGAAGAGTCCGCTCCACCACTCGTTTGGGAGCCTCATTTTGAAAAAAGTATACCAGGACATGTTGGAGCCGAGGGTCACTGTGAGGAGTAGGGGTCTCTTTGGCCAGCTGATACAACCTGGAGTACTCTTCATGGAATGCCTGCCAAAATAGGATAGGCTTTGAGTGGAATGTCCACCACAGATCTGAGCACAGAAATGTGAATCCAAATGGGCCAGAGTTTCTTATGAGTAAAGAACAGATTAACCATGAATGATCACAAATGTGACGATGTTCAGTATGAAATGTGTAAGCTATTTGGTTTTGGTAGAGCATAATAAAGAAAAGTAAGTGTACTTCTCAAGTAGTATCAAAAAGTATTCTAGGAAACTCATCTTTTTCACAAAGTCCTCTGAACTGCAAGTGTATGGTTTACAACGCTTTGGGGCAGGCACCAAGCTTCCTCAGATATTTTTAAAACGTGATTGTTTATGCTTCAATTTTACCCAAATGCTTTAAGAAACTATGCCCATTACCCACCTAAGCACCAATATACCAAAGACCTGGAATGTGCGTTAATGTGGGAGGCCTTTTGAGTTCATCTGTGTTGGAATGTGCCATAACCCAACTGTAACTTGTCTTAGAGGGCTGCCTGAGGCACAAAGATGTTGAGTCACTTGGGACTTTCCCAGAGCTACCTACGTGTCAGCATCACATTTGAACCCAGATCCTCTTGACTCCAAGTCCAGCACTTCTATCCACTGTGCCACTCACTCTCATCTACTCTTCATCCCTCGAATTATTTAGAAATGTTAAGATGTGGGAAAAAAAATCTATTTCATAGATCAAACAAATAGATTTCCCTTAGGTTTAACATAGTGTGGCACTGTTCAATCAGTAGCTTTAATGAATCTACATTAATTCAAGTAAAGGAAAGATCATTATCATCTGTCAGCCTAATCATTAGTTGGACAGAGAAGGTAGAAAGACATTTGTAATGAGAACTTTTTCTTGCTTTCTACTGCTGTATAAACACTATACCAGTTGAACGTTAAAAGATTAGAATTAAAAAGCAGAGATACCTTAATAAGCCCTGCTTCAGACCCATCTCGATCAAAGGCCTGACGGGCTTTAGCTATGGCCAGGATGACCCCCTGCATGGCGGGGCTCAGCATCACCTGGCACAAGAAGGCACAAAACAAAGAAAGAAAGAGGGCAGAAGAAAGTTCAAAAGAATGCTCGTAAAAGAAAGCTGAACAGAGACCTGAATCGAAGTAGAGCAGTTTAACTGAAATCCACTACAAGTTTCACACACAATTGCCATATGCATATACATCCCTGTCATGCACTGCCCCCATCCCTTTACATCATACCAAGCCTTTGCCAAAGTCACACTAGCTACTCCTATACTCCGTCTAATTTAGAAGGACAAGTGAAGATGTACAATACTAAAAAAACCCCCAATACAGCATTGTCAGAGAATCAGACAAAATTATAGCTTCACAAAGGGGAAGTATCTGAGGCAACCATTCCAATCTGGTACTGTAAGTCTGGATATGCATCGTGAATACTCCAAGTTTACAAAGTCCAATAAAATAAACAAATCATTTACAACAACCTGGAGACTAATGGGAGGCCACACAAAAGATGTCCTGGTAAAATAAAACCAAAGTCTTGCAAAGATTAGGAAAAAAACACAACACAAAAACCTCCCTTCACAAGATAATGGAAATCTGAGGGCTAGAATTGTGTATCTGAGTGCCATTTTGATCAAAAAGGAGATGAAAGATGAATATCATGGGATTCTTTGTCCTTCCTCTGACTTCAGAAAACACCTACAATTTACATACATATCTCCTTTTGTTTTGCATACATGGCATCTGGGGGAAAAAAAATCAAGCTTTGACTCTGGAGGAATAATAGTAGTGGAATAACACCATCACCAAGAACAAAGATCCTTCACTCAAGGGGATTTTGATCCATTCTGTCCAAGACAATGTGATCAAATTTTCTCTCTATAAGCTATCGAGATTATGCAGGGGACTTGCATGTACCCATACATGGTCTGATATGTATAAGAAGACATGTAAGTAAAGAAGGAAGCTGGTCATCAGCTATTTTAGTTATAACTGCATGTTATAATTTGTGATTACTATTATTATTACAAAGGCAAAACCAGGTTAGTCCTTTATCTGCACTTGCTACCCTGAGGAAAGGTAAATTACATTCTAAAATCCTTAAAAAAAAAAAACCACACTCAGCCACACAAGAACAGAAATGTAGTAAGACTAAGGAGAGACAACAGCTAAGTCCTGCACTCATCTTGTGTACCTCCTCATCATATCCATCTGCATCAGATCTAACCAGAATCTTTCCCACACTGGGAATCTCGACTTCAGAGACCTGAGAATTAGGCTGGCCAGCAGACTCAGTCCCATTAGCTTCTTGGAGCTGCTCTGACTGATCTGCAGGGTTTGTTTCCTGGGGATTGGCCTTCTTGGGCTCAGCTTCCTTAAGCTGTGACAGCAGAAAAGGGAGAAAAAGAATGAGAAAAAACAGGAGGACAGATGGGGGAAGGGAGGAGTGGTTAAAGATGGCAAAGAGATGGATTTACAGATATATGAGAAAACAAAGGTCTTAACTTATAAAAAGCAGAAATGTTCTGGACAACACTAAGGAGTGCAGCAGGGATGCATTTCTGATACACATTTACCTCTGACAGAGCTGCTTCCACACCACTTTTCTCATATGCATATGCTGTGTTGGCAATAGCCTGGGCTGTCTGGTCCTTTGCAATCACAGCATGCTCAGATGACAAACACCGAACACCATGAGAAGCAGTCAGGGATGGCTCTGATAAGAAATTTGTAAAAAGGTATAAGCACTAATTAACAAATGAAGTCAAGAAGCCTTTCGATAAAACCAAGTAGGACCAGAACCTAGTTAAACAATCCACTTCCTAAACTTTCCTACATCTAAACAGATGTGCCCCTGGGAACTAGTAATGAGGAAACTATTTACTTCAGAGTCCCCATGGGCAGATTTTTAAAAGGTACTCAACATTGCAGAGTTATACTTCTCAAGAAATCACAATGTCTTCCTACAGGCATCACCAGGCAGAGATCACCTTTTGAAAATAACATTCTTAATCCACCACTATTAAATCTAATTAGTTTTTACTCAGTTTGAGTTAACAGAGAAGTATAACCATAGAAGACCTGTAGTAGTTAGTAGTTAGTCTTTCGCTACCATTTCTCTTTCAGAGACTATTCTCTGATACTGGGAATTTATACTTAATGAAGTTAATGTTCAAGAAGGAAAAGTTATCTTTCTGTAGCACTTATGCCATATGAGCTTCATCATTTCTGAACTATCATATTGTGAAATGAGCAACAAAATGCAAAATGGCATCAGAATGCCTCAGCTTACTGACGGTCAGAGGTCCAGCTTAATGCAGTAGACTATCACGTGTGACAACATGACTGGTATGAACAATTTTCTTAGGCACCTTGTGAAGTGTCTGAGAAATCCTGTGACTCAGAGGTGGCAGAGGATTCGATCTGAGGGATCTTGCAAGACTGTTGCTCCTCCCATTCCTCAACTTCCTGCTCAAATCTCCAGTTATCTTCTTGGATATAATGCTTAAGTTCCACAGACAAGGCTTCCACCTCTTTCAACATCTGGTCTGGCTCAGTTGCTGCCGCTTCTGAGGGAGACCAAAATGAAGTCAGTGTAAGACAGCTTACCAACAAAACAAGAGGTCATCAAGAAAACACACGAAGTCTTAATTGCAGGATACAGCAAATTGTTAAGAGGACCAGAAAAAAAAAGAAACTGTTTTTTCCCTTTTAAGTACAAAATTTAAAACAGAAACTGCATCAATCACATAGTGTCAGTTTTCAGAATTTACTCCATTTGCCACTAATACCACCAAGCAAAAATGATGGTAGAGAAAGGGCTTGGAATAGATACCCTAGGCTGGCAAGGCAGTGAGAATGTTATAAACACGAGAAATCAAGAAACTATTAAGCCATCCTATAGTGTCTGACCAAAGATTCCGTGCTGAAAGGTTTCACTAATTTAACCAGTGCTTACCACAGGTCAAAATATGTATACTGCAATAATCAAAAATTATGGAATGACTATTCATACTTAAAAATTCATACTTGATAAATTATTTACGTTGCTTTCAATCTGAGACAAGTGCTACCAGAAAGTAAATACAACGGCTAGAGACTAAACAACTACAAACTCAACAAAACCCAAACATGATAAATGGTGACACCAAGGCCCCACAGGATCACACGTCTGAAGCTGGAAGGGGCTTCAGAAGCCACCTAGTTGTGAGATGAAGAAAATGAAGCCTATAGAAACTAAATAACTTATCCGAGGTCACTCAGGAAGCAAACATCATAAGTAGGATTCAAACTAAGGTCCTAATTCTAGACATGCTCTTTTCATACCATTGCTATGTGTAATGCGAAAAAAGCCCACATGAAAACAACTCCCTCTAGCAGCTGACTAGTCTAGCAAAAAGAGTTTTTGTTTTGTTTGCTTCCATAACATCAAAATAAATCATGCATGCAATTATAAATATCAGTTTCCTTTGCTGGATCTTCATCCAGGTCACATTTGTCAACCATGGATGGTTGTGCTAAAACATCTTCTCTTCCCCCTGTATACTATTTCACTTGGTGATCTTATCAGCTCCCATGGTTTCAAATATCATGTCTATTATTTCCCACTGCCTATAAGATATCTTACACTCAACATGTCCAAAATTGAACTCATCATCCTTTACCCCCAAATTTTCTCTTCTTCCTCACTTCCCTATTACTGCTGAAGGTACCACAATCCTCCCTGTCACCTAGGTTCATAACCTAGATGTCATCCTTCATTCCTCACTCTCTTTCAAAACCCCCATCCTCCACTCAAAATGATCTTCCTAAAGCGAAAGTTTGATCATGTTACCTCCCTATTCAATAAACTCCAGTGATCTTTTTTTACCTCCAGGATCAAACATAAAATTCCCTATTTGGCTTTTAAAGACCTTCAAAATCTGGCCTTCCTACCTTTCTAGTCTTCTTACTCCTTATACCCCTCAATCCGATGACACTAGCCTCCTTGCTGTTCCTATCACCTATCACAAGACACTCTATCTCACACTCTAAGAGGCTGACTTCTATACCTGGAACTCTCTTCCCTTTGCATGGCTTCCTTTAATGCTCAGCAAAATTCCCATTTTCTACAAGAAGTCTTTCCCAGTCCTCTAGTGCTTTCCCTCTGTTTATGATCTCCAGTTCATCTTGTAGAGAACTTGTTGGTACATAGCTGTTTGCATGCTGTTATCCCCATTAGATTGAGCTCCTTGAGAGCAGCAATTCCTTTTCACTTTTCAAGTGTTTAGCACATAGTAGGCATTCAATAGAGGCCTGTTGACTTCACTTAATATACTAAGAGCTATGAGGAGTCATTTATACAATAATTCTTACCAGCAGCTATTTTTGCCTTCATACTGTAACTGTGATTACAAAGATCTGTTGATTTGTCAGCATCCATCCTCTCCACTTTTCTTATCCTTTTTACACAGGTAACTCAATGAGGCCAATATGATGCTTAAGCAAAATGTTTCCCACATAGGTACAGTATACGATAGGTTTCCAGCACATGCAGGAAAATAAAACTCAAATATGTTGTGGAACTGTCTCTTGTGATCTCAAAAGTGAAATGTTCACCACAATAAGACTCTGTCAAATAAAAAGGTAAAGAAGACCACAGACCAAACCTGTTCCCCTCCCCTAGGCAGCACAGCTGACTGCACTTTGCTGACTGGTGTTACCTGCAGTGAAGTGGGGCAGCTTGTCATTAATGTACATCAGGCAGTAAGCACTAACATTTCTCAGGCCTCCATAGGAGTCCCTCTCAAGTTCTTCCCAGGAAGATTCAGTCACAGAGATGTCATTGTACTTGAGCCAAATATTTCGGGGTCTATTATAAATGTAGGCCCAGTAATGTCCAGCATTTGCCTGTCCTTCATGAACCAGAACTGCATGTAAGCGATAAGGCACCTGAAAAGCAAAAGCCAGACTCTTGGGTAATTTTAAGCACAGACTTTCCAATCTTCTAATAGGGTTATTAAAATCCAAAGGGACATTTCTAGTTGCTAGACACGTTCCTTAATCTTTCAGTATAAAAGCCACATTTACCTATCTTCTTGGCTAAAAATAGACCAAAAAAAAAAAAAGTCTACATCTCATGGAATATCCAAAATTGAAAGCTAACCTAGATATGTCTACTGCTGTCAATTACTGTGAGCTTTGGCCTTCATCCTCAGAACATAGGGTGACACCTATTTGCTCATTCTGGGAAAACTCTTTAAGAGAGAAGACACATGTAGCAAATTTAGCTGTTGTCTTGATCCTGTCCCTCTTTTTCAGGTTACCCAGATTTCATTCTGAACCAGCTATGGAAAACTCTCACATGTGAACAGTACAGAATCCTCACAATTTGTGGAACTATAGTAATGCTCCTTCACTGAAGCCCTCCACTAATCCTGTTATGGGAATGACCTGGAATTACTGGAAGATTATGTCAGGGTAGTATGAGCTCTCAAGGTCCTACCAAGAGTTTAAGTGAAGACTCATTAGGTCTTTTGTTTGAAGATTAGTATAATTAGGTTTAGAAAGGCACAAAGGGCTAGCTATCAAGTAATGAATATTTTTGGGCACACCAATTCATTAAACTATTCATTAAGATCAAGTCAGTGGAGGGAGTATATACACACTAGTAAAATTACTCATCTTTTCATGTATTTAGTTAAGTACAATCATGCTAAGGTCAAACGTTTAAAGAGATTAACAGAGAACCAAATTAAGTTTCATTCTAGTGATTCAATGAATTGCCAAATATTTATGGAGTCATCAACATAGTATGAAGAACAATCAGTGGGAATAGTGAAAATGGATTTCCCTGCATGGTACTCACTTCTAAAGCCACACAAGCTCTGCAAACACTACTAAGTTCCTTGGTAGAAGAATTACTCCTCTGACAGGAGTAAATAGAGGAGTGGGAAAAAGGGAGGTTTTTTCCCTTTCATTTCCAGAGAGTAAACTGATACCTTAATAGTAGTGAATAAGGAGGTGAGAACAAAATGTAGTTATGACAGTCTCTGTCTTTCTTCGAGTCTTTTAAAATTAATTTTATTTGAGGTATCATTTAGTGAGAGAAGTCAAAATATATAATACCTGCCAGCAATCCTTTATATGTTTTAAGATAACACCATATGACTGAACTGATGTATCAGTTTTGAAACATGCAATTTCAAATTAAAAAACACATTCATAAATCTTTTTTTGCAGCTGCCAAATGTACCAAGTTTTTACATAGTCTTATTTTTCTATTTAGCCTTATCCTACCTGGTGAAGAAGGGGATCAGAGTACATTTGCTCAATGGTTTGGGTAGTATTTGCAATACAGTTCTTCAGGTCTGTTGAAAAAAAGACATAATTCAATGCTCAAAGTTAAACATAACTCATTCCATCTCATATCAGCTGCCTCATTTTTTTTTCTATGAAGACAGTGGTTAGTTATCTATAATCTGGGTTCTTTCAACCCAAACTACTCTCTCCAAAGTTACCAATGATGTCTTAATGGACAAATCCAATGGACTTTTCTCAATCCTCATCTTTCTTGACCTCTCTGCAGACTTTAATGCTGTTTATCATCCTCTTTTCCCTCATATTCTTCCAAGACTTCTGAAAGTCTGACCATGTTACCCTTCCTATTCAATAAACTTCAGTGATTCCTTTTTACTTCCAGGATCAAATATAAAATTCTCTATTTGGCTTTTAAAGCCCTTTAAAACCTGACCCCGTCCTACCTTTTCCAGTCTTCTTATTCCTTACTCCCATTTACATAATCTGAGATCCAGTGACAGTAGCCCTCTTGCTAATACTCATATTAGACACTCCCTCCCCAGATTCTGTGTGTTTTCACTGGCTATTCTGCATACCTGGAATTTTCTGACTTGTATCTTCTGATTTTCCTGGCTTCCTTCAAGTCTTAGTTAAAATTTACCTTCTGTGAGAAGCCTTTCCAAATCCCCTTCATGTTAGTGCCTTGCCTCTGCTGATTATCTCCAATTTATCCTGTACATCTCTTGTTTGTCCATAGCTGTTCGCAAGTTATCTCCCCCATTAGATTGTAAGCTCCTTGAGATCAGGAACTGTCTTGTCTTTTACTCTTTTTTCTATCCCCATTGTTTAGCACAATGCCTGGCACATAGTAGGAACTTAGTAAATACTTGTTGTCCAATAAGGTTCTGCCTATATTAGTTCCACTGACTGGTAATCTCCGGGAACTTTGATGTGATAAGAGTATCATTACTAATCTGGGAGCCATTTGAGACAGAGAGACCTTTTTTTCTTTCTTTCTTTTTTTTACAATTTGAGAAATTTCACAAGGGAAGGACAAAATAAAAACCAGCTCAACTTAAACTGCAGAAAGAACCTCAAATACAAAGGTACTACAGAGAACATCTTTCACTAATGTAAGTTAGTAAAATTTAAAAATTCTTATTTAAAATATACTACATCTAGACAGAAATCAAAGAATAAGAAGGGTAAGGAAGTCAGGACAACAAAAATTATGCAGTAAAGACAATGGCATAGACAGGAAGTATATCTTAATACATGATCCCAAATTATCTTCTTCCTTTTAACTTAAAAAAAATTTTTAAACCAATAAAAAGTAACTGCTTAACAAGTTGCAAAACAGCCAACCTTGTATATCTTGTTCAATCTCACTCCTCCACCTCTGAAGACAGGTCTTAACAAAGTTCATTTCCTCCTCAGTGATTGTTCGTGGAGCTGGGTGCTCAGGCATTTTCACTGAAGGTCGGGACGATGTAAATGGCTTATTTATCAGATCAGTTTGTAGTAAATTATCTTTTTCCAAAGAGGGCAGAGGAACTTCAGCTTTGCCAGAATATTCATCTGCTCTAATACTAAAGGGAAAAAAAAAAAAGATCACACTACCAATACTTCTTTTCAAGGAATAGTTTTGAACTAGAATAAGTTATTCAGAAGCAAGATTGTAGCTTTCTTTCTCTGCCAAGACTACTTCATGGAATATTCAGAGAACTGGAAAGCTTCTAAGGTCCAGTTCCCAAAAGTAGCCTCTTCTTTCAGACCAAATTAGATAAAGGCTTGAAAACTGAAGTAGTTGCCCAACACAGGATCAGAAACTGAAATCAAATTTCCCTTAACAGTTTGGTGGTTATTCACTGCTGTCCAAAACCAATACAAATTTACAGATACTAACAACAATAACAAAAAGTTTCTCATTATTGCTGGTGATTGCCATCAAAATCGAGCTAGAGAATATAATTTCCTTATGCTTCAGCATTAAGAAAAACTACCAAAGGCTAAGAATTGGAAATGGAGGGAAAGCTAATCAATTGGGGAATGGCTGAACAGGTTGTGACATATGATTGTAGTGGAATATTACTGGGCTATGAGAAATGATGAGCAGGATGCTTTCAGAAAACCTGGAAAGACTTAGATGTACTGATGCAAAGTGAAGTGGGTAGAACCAAGAAAATATTGTACACAGTAACAGCCGTATCACTATACAATGATCACCCCTGAATGACTTAGCTATTCTCAGTAATATAAAGATCCAAGACAATCCTAAAGGACTCATGATAAAAAATGCTATCTGCCTTTGGGAAAGAACTGATGGCATCCGAATACAGACCAAAGCATACTGTTTTTTCACTTCCTTTTTTTCCTTCTTTTTTTTAGTTTGAGTTTTCCTCCATAAAATGACTAATATGGAAATATTTTACATGTTTGCACATGTATAACCTACATCAGATTGTTTGCCTTCTCAATTAGAGGGGGGAGGAGGAAAAGAGGGACAGAATTTGGAACTCAAAACTTAAAGAAAAAAATAATGAATGTTAAAAATTGTTTTTACATGTAATTGGGGAAAAAATAAAATATTGTTAAAAAAAAACTGGGTAAAAAAATACCATCAAAAACGAGGGAAAAAACTTTTCAGCCTTCTTTCCCCCAGGAGAATATACTAAAGATACTAAAATCCTAAATCAGGCATCAGTGAACTCCAGCCTGACACCTGTTTTTGTACAGCCCACAAGCTTAGAATGGTCATTATATTTTTGAATGGTTGAAAAAAAAACCAAAAGAAAAATAATATTACATAGCATGTAAAAATTATATTACATTCAAATTTCAGGCTCCATAAATATAGTTTTATTGAAACACAGTCATGTTCATTTTTCTATGTATTGTCTATGGCTGCTTTTGCACTACAATGGTAGCGCTGAATAGTTACGACATAGACTGCACTGGGTGCTCTCATTCCTTCACACCACTGCTGGGCATAGTGCAAACAGCAATGACAGTTATAACTCCACAGTACTGAATGCCACACCTACTGTAATGTTATGTGTGTGTGTGTACATATATATATTTTATCAGTGTGTACCCATTATATCAAAACAAGAAAAAGAAGAAAAAAAAGATTACAATTGTTTGAACTCAGGGCAGAAGAACTGCCTTAAACACTATTATTAGAACACTGAATGGCTTTGGAAATTAGCTTTTGCTGTAGATCCTGATAATGTTTCTTAACAAATTCAACCCCAAATTATAAGGCAAAACAGTGATTATATGTGAAATCTGTACCAAAGTAAAATCAATTTGGCAGCAACAACTAATATTGTCTGAAACACAAGTAATGTCAAGCTGCTTGATATTTCCCATCCTGACAAAAGTTAAAATAAGAAGCAACACCTCTATTTCCACACAAATTTGCAGGAGATTTTTCCAAGCTTGATCTACAGTTCCAGCAGTGTTTTTCAGACCTTGATGTAAGTGCAAAAGAAATTTCTACATTTGGGCACCCACTGAACTGTGCAATTGAGGAATTTCTACCTAATCTTCAATGGGAATTAATCTGCAATGTAATTACACATTAAAAGCCAAGCACCAAGAGAAAAACCTAATAGAATTCTAAAAATGCCTTCTAAGATTCAATTAAAATTATATACTCATGGATTGGTATCAGTATATGGTAGTACCTATCTGGGTGAAGACATTTTTAAAGATGAAATAAGCTAATATTTCATTACAGATCAGCATCAACAGATAAACATTTGTAAATGATTTTGATGCTCAGGAATACTAATGTTGAACCCCAATTTAAATGTTATTCTACCACCCCATCATATTCCATTCTCTTCATCAGTAGATCTATGTTTTTTAAAAATCATACTCAATTATTATTATTATATTTTGAATTTCATCAATAAAAATTTTGTGGAAATTTGTTTTCTCTCTTGTACCTACATAATAATCTTGATTTTGCCTATTGGCCTGCAAAGCCTAAAACATTTCTACCTGGCCCTTTCAGAAAAAAGTTTGCCAACCCCCATACTATATGTGTGTATATATATATATATATGTACTAAAGAAGCAGCTAGGTAGCAGAGTGCGTGTGGAGTCAAGAAGTCCTAAGTTCAAATCTAGCCTCCAACATTTACTTGCTGTGTGGCCCAGGGTCAGTCACTCAATCTCTATCTGCCTCAGATAATACAAGTTGCACAAGGTCAGTCAGCCACTCCATGGGAGCACCGCCTCCCTTCATCTTTTCAAGACATTCATATGGCACTCACAGGCATCATCTCATTTGACCCTCACCCCACATAGGTGGATGCCAGGAGGCGGCACATGGTTCAGGGTCAAGGCCACATGACTAGACTATAGGAGGACCAGAACTAAGAACATGTGGCAGCTTTGGAACCTCAAGCCCAGAGCTCTGGTCAGTCACCCATGATTCAGCTTCTGAATTACTCAATAGCATAATACCCCACCCTACCACAAGAAGCTCAATCACCTCTTCTTGGCTGTCAGGTCAGAAATTGGGCAGTGGAGAGATGAGGCACGGCCCGAGGGAGGCACTTCCTCAGCAGGCTTGGTGCTAGCAAACTCAAGGACATACTGCAACATGTCAGGGAGTGGGAATCGAGCCGGGCCAGAGCCATACTTCACATACCTAGGAAACAACACAAACACACACTCTGAGAGCCAAAGTTGCTGCTATGTTTTCTGAGACAAATCCAAGATCATTTGCTGTACAGACCCAATAGAAAGGCTAACACCAAAGCAGAACGAATATCTGGAGGACAGAGACAGAAGTCTGGGAAAAATTCTGCAGCATCCAGATGGAAAGCTATTCTGAAGGACAAGATCATGATGACCAACATAATTTTTTATATACCTCATAGATGAGTTCAGAAATTCAAAGTACTTTAAGTGGGCTCCTATTCTCTAAGTAACTACATCAGCTGTCCCATGTTGCCAGTACATCACAGTGTGGTTCTAGGCTGATGGGAGGGAGCTAAATATCTCAAAGGGAAATAAATACTTCATTAGAGTTGCTAGAAAAGGTAAAACAATGAAGCTGGCCAGGAGAAACAATGCAATGATCTGGCAGTGCCAATGATAATTGAATCCCATGCAAAAGAGTTAAGATTGTGTCTTAATTAGAAGCATAGTTTTCAGTCTTATCTACTCTTTCTAATATTTATACCTGTTTTCATCCCAATAGCAAATCCTGATTGTTATTCAGTCAGCAAATCTCAGGGTTTTAACAGTTATGGATGGATATGGTATGGGGTGATCTAGCTGTCTTGATCTTTTGCCTTGCTTGTAAAGAAGAAGTAAAGAAACTAGGAGACCTGGGTTCTAGTTCCAGCTCTGCCACTAACTTTTTGTGTGACTTTAGGACAATCACTTAACCTCTCTGAGACTCATTTTCCTCACCTGTACAGTGAAAGGGATAGGCCTTAGAGTCTCTCTAAGATGTCTTCTAGCTCCGAAATATTATGTTTATTTATAATTTCTTTTCTTGACCATTTGGTAAAAACAACAGAATTAAGACATACAACTCTGCATTAATTTTTTTTTTCCTTGGTGAAATTTTAAACCACACTTTTAAATTCTTAAGCTTACTAATCAGGGAGAAAAACATCCAACACAGCCAGGAGCTATTTCTGATGCTATGGAGCAATACAAAAAATATGTCTAAACTAAGCCTGGTAATGTAACCATAACATAACAGTTTATGAAAATTTATTTGCTCTACTTTTTGTCATTTAGAGTGTTAACATTCCCAAATTTTATGCTGCAGATGACTTACCTTTCCAACTTTTGCTGCAGAAACTTAACTTCCTCTTTCAGCTTCCGAATGTGTTCTCTCTTAGTTCGAATAAGCTCTTTACTGCTATACATATACCTATCGAAATTATAATGTATAACTTAAGAAAATAATAATCCCACAAATATGTTTCATATCAATATTTTAAAATTCCTCTAAGTAGTAATTCTTTTTAGCAAATAAAAAGAACAAAAGCAGTATTTTGAGAACATACACATGCTATCTTGGCTTCCACATTTACCTGCTTCTTTTTTCCCACCCAAATGTATTAAGAACCCTTCACTTAAAGTATATTCATTCCTATAGCTGGAATTCAACACAAAGGCAATCTGCAACACAGTAAATGACAAATGAATGGAGAGCCTCACCTATCCATATATATAATCTGAGGAAACTCCAACTTATTGTGAATTTTCTCTGGTTGACCTAGGGATTGATTGAACTCAAATCTGGAGAGTTCAAAGGTCAGTACTGGAGGTAGCTTTGTAAACCATCGCTGTCAGAAACAGAAATTAAAAGGAAAAGAAAAATCAATTTCAGAAAAGAGCAATGCTCATATTTAACATCAACATTTATATACCTCTCAAAATTTTCTTCTTTAAAGCTAAATAACTCCTGCTAAACAGACATATGAAAAGGCGCTTCCTCCTCTTCCTTAAATATCCAAGGAAATGGTCTCTTATAATGGAGCTCACTCAATGAAGAAGTTAGTTAAATATTTCACAAAAGAAAGAATTTACTGTAAGTTCCATTTTACGCAGGTTATCCTTTGCTCTAATATAACTAGGGGATGGATGAACTGGCATGGATTTGTGCCAAGATAATGGACGTATACAAAGTAGCTAAGGCTAGTTTGTAAAGCAGCAGGCATTCAAGAGGTATCAGACACTGATATAAATGGAAGTCATTGTCTCTCAATAGGATAAAGAGGGAAATATTGGGAATACAATGTGAAAACAGGCATAATTTAATTATTATTTCTCACTGTTCAAGTTTCTAGCATTCTTTAAATTCCTATAATGCTATCTGATGGTGGTGGTGGGAAATAATTTATCTAAATTATTAAAAAACATTTGGTGAATGCCCTGTGTTCATAGGACAGGACTGACTATTACAAAAGAGTATGTTCTATTTAATGAACTATGTAACAAGTCACAGTTGCATTTGGATAAAGATATTAATAACTGAACAAGAAGTTACTATTTTCAGTTCAGATACCTTGTCCTTAAACAAAACATTAAATCTAGGCAATATAAGAATTCTATAATCACCAAAGGACTAAATTTAAGCATACAGGATTAATTCTTCCAGTCATTTAAGGACATGTACATCTTTGAATGAAAGGTCTCCAGATAGCTAGCTATCTTAAGAACATTGTTTTCAATTGATTCCAAGGTCATAAAAATTGCACAGATGGTATATGCCATAAAGCATTTTATAATGATATAATGATATAATTCATCATGAATTAAGACATTTTTCTGAAAATCTAGGGAGGTATAAGCTCCAAGTGTCCTGGGACTGACATTCTATTTCTAATCTTGTTCTACAAATGCTTCCTTAAGCCTTTGCTGTGGGTTTCCCTGTATTATGTCAAGAAAACGTCCTTTTCATTCCTACAGTAACTGAGTTGGACTCTTCAATACTGTGGCTAAATAAATGAAAAGTGCCATTCAGTGCTGGCACTGGAAGCTTGATTGGAGGTCTTGAATTTACCACATGCTTCTCACCAACCCCCCTCCACCTCTCTTTCATTACCAATCACCTAAAAACAATAATGATAAAAATACAGGCAAGAGAATTTAATATTAAAAATGTGATAGGAAAAATATTTTAAATGGCATATTAAAGAGTTAAGCATTGTACTTTTTTACCCTCCAAAAATATGGAAGCAAGAGGTTCCCCCTATTTAGGTATAGATTGGCTTTAAAAGAAAAACTGAATCACATTGAAAACATGAGATGTAGTATTTATGACTTTTTAAACGGCTAAAGAACTTTTCAATTATAGTAAGCAATTTCTCTGCCAAAAATATTCAGGCTCACTGGCTCAAATGTATGACTTTTGCTCAAACTCTGTTAAGTGTCAAACAAAACGATAGGTTTTATTAAGTCTTATTAAGTTTATTAAGGAAAGAGTCCCCTGTCAAAGACCTCAGTCTTATTTAACTGGCACTTTGTCCTTTGCAGAGCAAATAAATACGTCAAACTAACCTCTTGTCCATACTTCACTGAATGATCAGGAGGAAGCATCTCGATCTCCCCCTCTACCATGGCTCCTTCCAAACATTCGTCCAAGTTCCGATAACCATTTACCTGAAGGGGATACTGGCCAAAAGTTTCATTGTTGCAAAAGGTCTTACCTAGAAGAAAATTTGGCATGAAAAAACAAAACAAAACAAACCACCCTGCCTCCACCATCTGCTTTCTGGTCCCCAAAACACTATTTTACAGTATCTTCCTAAAATTAGAACAATTTCTAGTGAATCAGAAAGTAGAAATCACTTAATATTTTGTAGCAAACATGCAGCTTAAATAAGCCTGCCAGTGGAGGATATTAACAATTTTCCTAAAGCAGAAGCTCCTTATAAATCTGTCCTTCCCAGGACAGTATGGCTTTGTATAGGACTAAAACTTCTGAGGATCTGATATTTTAAAAAATTTTTTTATTAATTTATTTTGATTTATCAACGATCACTTCCATAAGCTTCTGAGTTTTAAATTTTTCTCTCCCTCCCTCCCCAAGACAGCAAGTAATCTGATATAGGCTATACATATACATTCTTATTAAACATATTTTCACATCAGTGATGTTGTAAAGAGAATTAGAACCAATAGGAGGAACCACTAGGAAGAGGAAACAAAACAAAACAGACAAAAAAAAACAGCAAATAGCATGCTTCGATTTGCATTCAAATTCCATAGTTCTTTCTTGGGATATGAATAGCATTCTCCATCATGAGACATTTGGCGATGTCTTAGATTGAGAATCTGATATTAAAGAAATAAAAAGAGCAAAAACTATAGTAAAAGGAAAGATGTCCTTAACGAAATAATTCCATCTAGAACCTGCAATAATATATTCCAGAACACAAATCAGAGATCCAGAAGTGACAACCAATCAGAACACAGAATTTACCTTCATGAACCCCTTCAGTCAGGAAAGTGCCATAGAAAAGCTGCACCATTGGATTTTCGGATTTGTTCCTGGGACTGCTGCTTTCAAAAAGGTAGAGAATTCTACATCATACGGTTCATAACATTAAGCCTGCTCATTATTTAAAGGTGAAAGTTACTTAATTTCTACCAACTCCCAAAGAGCAACATATGTTCTAAAACAAATAACACATCACTGTTGTGAAGCCTTGCAAACAAACATATCTTTTTTCCCAAGTGCCTTCTCCCCCAATGGCACACAGGACACAAAATGAAAACCAGCCTCCTTCCTATTTGCCTCACTTAAACTGTTACTGGCAAGTAAGTGGCTATCTATAAGACTGCTTTTATAATACACAGATATTTTCATGTAGGGAGTCAAAGCATTTTAGGGATCAAATTCCTAGTACCTGGATAAGAAAGTCAAGGACATCTGTTACTTGTCAGGAATTTCATTTCTGTCAAAACTGAAATGGCTAATGTTGTCACTGCTCTCACCCATCCCCATCCAACAGGAGTAACTTCAAAATAGTCACATATTAAAAATGTCTAAATTAATGTCTTCAACTACAGTTAATGCTACCATGTTCACACCATAGGTTAAACTGTGCAACACGGGTGGTAGCTGTTTTAAAGTAGTAGCCAGGGACCATCAAGTTAAAGAATTACAGACTAGAATAGAGCTATCATCTCTGAGAGAAGAAGAAAGCCAAAAGTCTAATTGTGACTCTCAATAAATCTGTGGGTAGTAAAGTCTACAAGATTTAGTGAAAATTATTTATTTCTCCAAGAAAGCAGTCAGGATAAGTTTTTAAGATATCCTAGTAAATAAAATTTTGAAATTCTCTAGGGAGAAACTAGGGGTGGGTGAAAGAAAAGGATGGGAAAATAAAATTCTTTTTTTTTTGTTTGTTTTTTTGACTAGGCAACTGGGGTTAAGTGACTTGCCCAGAGTCACACAGCTAGTAAGTATCAAGTGTCTGAGGCCGAATTTGAACTCAGGTCCTCCTGACTCCAGGGCCAGTGCTCTATTCATTTCACCACCTAACTGCCCCAAAATCAAATTCTTAATACTCACTTGACATTAACAGCAAGCTGGAATGCATCCTCCAGCCAATCTAGGAGCTTGTGGGTGAATTCACTCACATCTTGCTAGAAGAGGCAAGAATGTCATGGATATTAGATACATTACTATGTTCAAGAGGAATAAGATTTTTCCTTTTACCCACCAAGTAGTAAGAAAACTCTTACTAAGCACACCAGAACATGAATGCTTCTTAAGAAAAATTAATTATAAATGGGATCAATTTCACTGATCAAATACTTATTAAATACTCACCAAGAGCTAAGCACTCTGCAAAGTTCTGGGGATACAAAGAAAGGCAAAGACATTAAAGCAAGGGGTGTGGGGGGTGAGAGACAGGACACTGGACTCAGTAAGGAAAGAGTAGAGGAAGGGCAGGGCAACCTAAGACACTGATGACAGAAAGTAAACTCAGCAGCCCTTATGGGTGAAACTCACCCCTCCTTGCCAGATGCAACTGTAGCCAAAGGAGCTGTACCCCTCAAAAAAAAAAGGAGGGGTATCTGAGAGTAACAAAGACCAACAAACTCAAAACTTATTTTAGTTATACAGATGCTAAAGGTTATCTCTGAGGAAAGCTAATAAGGGTCAGGACGCATGTGTCTGAAAATGCTAACTTTCTATTAGTACTGAAGTCACGGGATGAGAAAATAGAACTCTCTGTGGTTAGGCCATGGAAGCAAAGTTAGAACGAGTCTTGGGGCTTTTAAAGAAACAGGCGGGGCAGAAAGGAAGGAGTGGCTTTGAAAGCACAATCAGAGTGGAATAGCAGAGGGGAGGACTGATTTAGCAAATCAGTCAAGCACCTATTTTGTACAAAGCACTATGCTAGGTGCTGAGGATATGAAGACAAAAAAGAAAGCATTCCTTATCCTCAAGGAGTTTATATTCTATTTGGGGAGGGTGGATTCATCATGTATACAGATAAGTAAATATAAGATTATTTGAGAAATAAAGAGCCCAAATTGGGTCTTCAAGAAAAGCTTCTCCTAGAAGGCAGCACCTAAACTGAGTCTTGAAAGAAGTTAAAGATTCTAAGAGGTGGAGGTGAAGAGGGAGAGTAACCCAAGTCTGAGGGCACAGCCTGCGCAAAGGCAGAGGTGAAGGAGGAAATGCTGAGTTCAGGAAAGAGCAAACTGAGGAGAGAGCCTGGTACAGTGGAAAGACTAGTGGCTCACAAAAGACCTGGGACTCAACTCCTGCTTCTTATCCTTAGTGCCTGTATCCTCCTGGTGACCCAGTTCACTCTCTGGGCCTCAGTTTCCTCCTCTGTATAATGAGGAGGTTGGGCTAGATGGCCTCTGGTGTCTTTTCCAGCTGCAGGTCTAGGAGCAGATATTTCAGCAAGGCCAAACTGTGAAAAGCAGAAGAGCTGGAAGTCTCTCTTGGAGGCCACAAGGAACCACTGAAGATTCCTGAACAGGAATGACACGGCACACAGATAACATGATCCTTTTAAAGAAAAGCCAGAAAAGCTGATGAACTGGGAATCAGGGGCTATGCTGTAAGCTGCACTGACTTCACAAAGCAGTCTTGGACTGGGACTAAAAGAGCTTTGAGGCCTAAAGAGAAAGGAATTAATTTTCACAGTGAACAAGAGAAATGAAGCCACTCTGGGCCTTAGACAAGAATGCTAGAATAAAGGGTGCATAAATGAGCATAAACGCCTCTACTATCTGTGTACCTATAATCTACCCTCAAATTCCCTCACACTGGATAACACACCCAGCTGGGTTATTTAAATAGGTGAGGGTCAGATAAAGTGGATGATGCAGGGGAGATAACAGTGCTTGGCACATAACAAGCACCTAACAAATGTTGAGCTGAAATTAAGTAAAAGGCCCACAGATCCAGGGGAAAATTCTTGTTTCCCTTCGTAAGAGGTGGTAGCAACAAAATCTTCTGGACAGCCTCATAGTTAGAGACTACCCTGAGCTGGTCTATGGGGTTTACCCTGGACACTGCAATCTAGCCCAACTGGTCTTCTCTCTGTCCTTCATTCACAGCACTCAATCTCTCATCTCCTGCTTTTGCACAGGCTGACTCCCATGCATAAAATATGTTCCCTCTTTCACTTCTGCCTCCCTGAATCCCTTTCTTCTTTTAAGATGAAGCTCAGGAAAATCTTTTTTTGCACAAAACCTTTCCTGATGCCCCTCCAAATGCTAGCGCCCTCCTTACCATAGTACTGTGGATTTAACTACTTAGTGTGTTGTGTGTAAATACATAAATATCTGCATATGCATATATTAACCATATTTACTTGGAATGTAAGCTCACTAGGAGTAGGAAGCGTTTTATTCTTTGTCTTGTATACCCAATGCTTAGCACAGTGTGGAGCACATAATAAATACTTGTTGACTGATTGACTATGGTACTTGCATTTTTTCCCTGCCTATTTTTATCACCCTTCCTCCTCTCCTACTCTCTGAACCTTTTTTCTTCTTCCTCCTTGATTGCCTATGCTTTAAAGTTGTTCATAACCTACATAAGCACCTATATCAGACATCCATTTTTTGAAGCTAAAGCAGATGTTGATCTTTGGAATCAAGCAAAGACAGTGAAGCACCAACAAAGAATAACTGAAAGAACTTTTTTTCAGGATGTTTTGGGGCAAAAAAATTATTTCTTTTGTACCTGCTGTTCATCAGCTGATCGGAATGCTCCCTTTAAGAGATCCAGGGCTGCTGAAGGGTCTACAAATTTACGATTTGATCCCATCATTAAAGCAAACAGATACTGAAGTTCCTGCATAAACACAATATTTCTTTTTTCCTATGGGAAACACAACATATAAGATAGTTATCATTTGATGTAGGGAATTCAGTATTTCAAAAGAAAAAGTGTCAGTGACCACTCCCAAAACTATATTCAATCCAATTTAGGAAAGAGCCAGGCCCTGAACTATAGAACAGAAACTATTAAGGCCTGTGTGATTACTGCTAAACTTAGTGAAGTCTAAGTGGGAGTGACAATGGCTGAGAACCAACCACATGATCATTCTCTGCAGCTGCCATCCCTCCTGCTGTCAGGGAAATACATAACCAGGAGAAATCTAGAGAGGCATTAGATCCCTGGCTGAAGGCTCAGACCTCTGATAAGAATAGATTACTCTCTCTATTTCGAGAATGTCCAGGCCTCTGGAGAATTTGGGTTGAACAGCTACTGAAGTCTCACTGAGGGATGTCCCAAAATAGAACAAATGTTTCTAAATCTTCTATTCACTGAGCCCCAAAGGCAAACAGACATTGAAGCTAGTGGTGACAAGGTGACTGTCACAACTAGCATTCTTTGAATTCTTCTCATAATTCTTCACATAAATTTAAAATCCTATGTAATTTTAAAAAATCTGTTTTATGTCACAAGAGAAGAAAACTTGCCACTCAGAAGAGAAAGCAATTGCTCGGACAAATCAAAGAGGATCAGAGACAGAACACTGAAAGAAGCCAAAAGCTTAAAACCCTCTAAGCTGAAAGGAACTCAGTCATTAATTATGGAAATCGTTCAGTACCAACTTACTGTGTGGCTTCGGCAATTTTCAAGTATATTTTGTGGAAGACTATAGCCAAGAACAAGCCTTCGAAATTCAGATAGTTGAAAGAGAGACTAGGGAAAAAAAGGACATAGCTTATAACTTTCACCTCAAAATATATATAAAAAAAAATCCCTCACATATTTATGTATTTACATTCCACATATACTTTAAAAGAGAAGCATTCTGTTCATCATCATTTAAATAAGAACACATTATATATAAATGAGTATCCTGTTAATCTATTCAATTCAATAATATTTATTAAGAATTCTGTACCTTCTGTTCATTAACTGATCAGAATGACCCTTTAAAAGATCAGGGTGCTGGATCTCTTAAAGGTCTCTCCTTTGAATTCTTCCCTGTGAATTCTACTGTGCTGGGCTCTGAGGATACAGAACCAAACTCCTTGCCCTTAAGCAGCTTATATAGTAGTTGGGGGAAGGGGAGAGCACCAGGCACTCAAATGGTTCATTCTTCCCCAAGACTGCTAGCAACCTGAAGAAGGCAGGCAGAAACAGATTCTAAATCTGAAATAAGTGGAACATCTTTATCTCTACAGATATATTCAGTATAATAGAATGTTATCAATCCTAACTTTCACTTCAGAGAACTTAAGTTCATCCTGAATGGGCCCATCTCAAGTGACACTACAGAAAACAGATCCAAAATGAAACTAAGATCTCACGCAGTAAATAAATCATCAGTCATTAAGTTGATCTGTTAAAATTTCAAACTGATAACAACTTACCAACTGTAATCTGATCTACAAAGTGCTATGCTGAAAGTGAATATTTAGAGCTGGAAAGGAAGCTTCTAAGGCCATCTAGTCTATCCTCATTTTAAAGAGAGACAACTGAGGACCAGGGAAGTTAAGTCATTTGCCCAAGGTCACACAGGTAGTGTCAAAAGTTATACCAAAAAAATTTAGTTGAATCACTTTCTAAATCCAATTTAAGAAATTAAGAAAGAATTCTGTCATTATTTCCAATCCTGGAGCTATAATTACAAAATGCCCACAAACAAAGAGAACTCATATTATCTTCTTAGAGATTTTTATCTTCATCTGATTTAGTCCCTAGCATATCTAGCTCCAAAACTCCCAAAAGAAACCAATTTCAACAAAATCCAGTAACACATGAAAAAGACTTCTAATCATTTTAGATCATCATTCTAATTTAAAACATATATTCTTCACATTTAAATTTGGTGATATAGATTATGTGCACTAGATTTTCTAATAAACTGGAGAGTACTCTACCTGTATAACAGCACTAAACCAACAGGTATTGCCAACATTTTTAAGTCCAACTGGCCAACCATCCACTCTCCTCCAGTCATTGGGGTTGGGATTTTCTCCCCAGACTTCACAGCGCTTCCTCTTTGAACGTTTATTTTCAATAGTAGTTGCTTCATGAGTCCTGTCCCAATATATATATACACGCAAAATCAAGAGCTGAACTTGGCAAAACAGTAGTTGACATTTATATAGTGTTTTATAGTTTATAAACTGCTTTATCTATCTTATTTCATTTGTAAACCATGTGGTAAATTTCAGTGACCTTTTGTAAAAAGATCTAAGTTTAAAAGAACTATACAATCACTGGTTATATATGAAATGGATTCATACTCTTGGTAAAAAAAAAAAATCCAAGGAATAGGTTTTACTATACACACATATTCTTGGTTAAAATAAAAATCAAAGGATTCACTGACTCATGGAATTGAGAACACTGATTCTAACATAGTGCATCACAGTCTTGACCTTAAACACAGGATGATTTGATGATTATTAGATGAAAGAATTTGAGGTTATCATAAGAGGTTCTTCAGACTGTATTCCTGGGTGAAACTCAAACTGTTCTTACACTTTCTGGAAATACATGATATTTACATAACATTTTGAGGTTTACAATGGGCTTTAAATACATTGTCTCATTTTTCCTTTTGATAATTCATACTAACTGGGAATTTTAAAATGTAAATTAACTCAATAACCTGTTGTGATCCCTTCCATCAGCTTGAATTTTTGGTGACTCTAGTAGACTCAAAGCAATGGCTGCCTGAAGATCATCTTTATTATCATGTATTGGATCAACTACTTCTGTAAAACAAACAAAAATGAATCTTTGTTTCTGTATATATTTGCATAAAATTTGAACTAGAAAAAGAAAAATTAAAGACATTCACACATTCCAAATATAGAATCCCGGTTACACAGTAGATAGGCTACACTGAGTTATTATCACACCAGGTAGACCAGAACTGCAAATAAATAATTTACAGGGGAGATGTAGCCTCCAACCATTCCCAGAACCAGCAAGCTGTGGGACTGTAGATGAATGAACCTCCTCCTTCATATTATCTTTCCAAAAAGTCAAAATTTTTCCTCATATCTGTAAGTTAAATTTCCTCTGTCTGGCTTAATTTGAACATCACCTAAAAGCTCTGTGGATTTATGGGTACATCAAGGGTATAATGTTCCAAGTTTCCCAACCTCCTTTTGAACACTAACCATTTCTGGCTGCTTAAAAAACAAACAAACAAACAAATAAAACTACCTAGAAGTTCAATCCACAAAAACAATATTTCTCTCTGCCCTCCCCCCACCCTAAAAGAAGTATCAGGCAAATAAATGGTTAATCGAAAAGGTTCAATCACCAGACTAAGTGATTTCCATTTGAGAACTCTTACTAACAACTTTCCCATTAAGTCCTATAGAGAATAGCCATAAAGCTGTTCTCAAATGTGGTCCAGGGACTCATGGGGGGCCCAGGACCCTTTTAGAGAGTCTATGAGGTCAAAACTATTTTCACAATAATTCCAAAATGTTTTCATCTCTAATACAGCAAATATTGACAGATACAAAAATTTTTTAAGAGTATAAATGGGTCCTGAGACCAAAAAGTTTAAGAACCACTTGGCTAGAACAATTATGAAGTGACAGATACTAAGACAAAAATGAAATGGTAAGGAAACATGATGTGGAGAGGAAATATCACTGACTCCAGAGTAAGAGAACTTATGTTCAAATCTCACTTCTGATACTTACTACATATATAGGCTTGAACAATTCTGGACCTTGCTTTTCTCATCTATAAAATGAAAAGAGTTGGACAAGCCCAGTAATGATTCTGAGTTTTCTAAAGTTTTCTAAAGGAATTGACATGGATACATACAAAATTGACCAATCAACTTCAATTTATAAAAGACATGCAGAGAAGACAAAAATCAAAGACAGGTTTTGACTTCTACAAAAGTGTGGCATAGTCTTGTAGGAACATTGTCAGGAGTGCTAAAGCTCAGAATGAACTGAGGCTGGGGATAAATGTTCACATTAACAAAAAATGTGTACTGATAACAACATAAGAAAAAAGGATCCTGAATATCCAGTACTCTGATGCTCCGAAGATCCTGGGAGAGTTTGATTAAGCCCTGCAAGCTGACGTCAGCACAGCAACCCAGATGACCCACAGCAAGACCAAACAGCTCAACCACCCCTCCCCAAAAGCACAACATGAGACAGGGTCTGGCACAAAGAACTAAAGTTGGAGACACTGGAGGGTAACAAAAATTACTGCAAATACAGAGATCTCCCAAAAGTGAAGAAAAAGTCTGTAACAACTACAAGAAGTGACTCAGAGGAAAAAGTAGATTTTCCACAAGCACAGAATACCTTAGAAGAAATGTAAAAAGCTCTGGAAGAAAGAACTGGAAGGAGAGTAAGTAATGTAGAAGAGAAAATGGTAAATCTTACCCAAGAAATAAACTCCCTAAAAATGAGAACAGATTAAAAAAAAAAGTCAGTCACTCCATGAGACAGCAAAAAAAAATTATAACACAATTTTTTAAAATTTTAAAGGAAATTTAAGATGCTTTATGTGTGTGTGTGTGTGTGCGCACGTGTGCACACACACACACTAATTTGGAAAAAAGAACAAGAAGTAGTAATTTAAGGACCTTCTGAAGAGTATGATTAAAAATAAAAAGGTCTGGACATATATTTCAAGAAATCATGAATCATGTTTTAAGAAATCATAAATGAAAACTGTCCATATCTATTAACCAGAGGTCAAAATAAGGATAGACAGAATTCAACAATCACCTCTTGAGTGAAACCCCAAAAGAAAGAGTCCCAGGGACATCATAGCCAAAATCCAGAGTTCTAACATCAAGTAAATTAAATAAATACTGCAAGTACAGTTATCCCTTCCATATTGTGGGGGTTAGGGGTACAGCACCCCCACGATCGGGAAAATCAGCGTAAAATTTTTTGGCCCTCCTTTTGTACCAGCGAAAAGCTCTGAATTTTTTCTTTTTGTTTTATGGGATGTTTATAGTATTAAAAGATAAAACATGTTGGTATTATACAATACTATACATGTAGCTTATGCATTTCTGAGTTTCTAAACTTTTTCTATGTCATCTATGGCTTCCATAAAACTCTCCAAAAATTCCCATTTAATTTCTTATGCTGACCCGCAACGTATTGAAACTGCAATGGGAAAAGTCAAGATGTGGAAGGGATAACTGTAAAAATACCTAGGAACTACAGTTAGGATCACACTAGGCACTTCCAAGGTCTCCACCTTGTGACTTTCTCAAGTGAGCCTTCCACTCTTCTAGTCTCAGGACACAAGACATTTGAGTTGCTAGAAGGGCCACCTTTTCCTACAGAATAAAGGTCAAATCAAGTCAAGAAGAATTTATAAAGTGATTACTATGTGCTAAGCACTAGGAATACAAATGCAAACAGAAAGTCCCCGCCCTCAAGGAGCTTATATTCTAATGAGGGAAGACTACACATAAAAGGGAGCTTTAAAAAGGGTGAAGACAGTACATAAAAAGGAGCTAGAAAGGAGAAAAGAGAACACAGTGAGGAAAGTCTAGAGAGACAGGAGGAACTTGGAGAGGATGAAGACATGGCTGACCTGGGCATTTCCCCTAAAATGGAAGTTCTGACAGGTACCAGCTGATCAGAAGAAGGGACCCCAGGGGCAGAGAGTCCTTTCAGTGTGGCACGGTAAAAGTCTGCAGAGTTAGGAGCGGGGACTGGAGGCTTCTGGCTGACCTCTTGGCAGTTCTGGCACTTTCATCTCCATGTTTCTCACTGAATTTCTTAATCAGTTTTTGGTCTGGTATAGAATTCAAGTGTTTTGCTAGCGTAGTCACGTGGGAGCTGAGCAGTTTACCTCTAGTCAGGCAGCCATCTTGGCAGGAAGTTTCCCATGGTGATTTCTTGGGATCTTATAGGACGTATAGTACTGTTCAGCTTCAGAGATTTTTGACTCATTTTCCTTCACTGTGAAGTACCTGTTTAATGTACTGGCTCTAGACTATATACTAATTTCTCTTCCTCTGTCAGCTTTTATAGGCCTTTCTCATGGTTTTTCCAGGGTGTCCTTTACCTATTTGGGCTTCTATCAATCTCTTTCATTTACCTTAGAGAAAGTGGGAAATGACAGGCCCAGTGATGATGTGCTACACCTCCAACCCCTGCTGCCCATTCTCTGTTCTCTCCCAGTGATCTACCTCATGACCTACTAAGGTTGGGTAAGATCTGTAACCCTCATGGACTAGATGATTAGTTGGGTCATTGCTGTAGGAAGACTCTGAAAAGCAACTATGTCTGGGCTTATCCACTACTTTTGCCAGCCTCAATCATTTGGGCTCTGTCCTACTCTCAGCAACCAACTTTCTTGTAACTACCCTTAGGCTGATGGAATTCATTGGTCAACACCTTGGCCCCCTTTTCTACCTTTCTTTTAATTCTTCTGTCCCATTCCTTTTCTTCCTGTACCTTTCAGAAAGTTCTAGCACCACCTGAAATGCCCTCCTTCTTCCATGGTCAACAACTGTCTTTCCCATCCCTACTCTGCCCACTGAGCTAATAGATTCAACTACCCCAAACCCATGAAGGGGTTAAGTAAGGTACACAGGGTATAGAGGTAGTATAGTCAGGACACTGGAAAGGAAGAGACTCAGAGGCTATTCAAGCTAGGCCTTTTTTCTACCTGGACTCCACAACTGTGGCCTGTGAGATAGTCTTCTTATTTTGTTTCTCTATAAGAATTAATTGGGGGTAACTAACTTTCTTTCTTTTCTTCTCCTTACTAGTTTTTGATTTTTCATTGTTAGGTGCTTTCTTATTGGTATGGGGTGTAAGAAAGGAGATGAAGAGCTGAACCTGCCCTAGACAGCCTCTTACTTCACAATTTTCTTAGGATATCTGCCTCACTGAGTTCCTTAATCTCTACTTATAACCATGATCAAGATCTCCTCTATTCTAAAAACAAATCTTCCTCTGACTCTACTACTCCCTCTCATGCTATTAGTCACTATCTCACACCACTCACTCACTTTTCAACCCTTTGTGATAAGATTTCCATCTTCACTACTTTAATGAAACTGATCTCTCCAAAGTCACTAAGGATCTACTTTTTCAAAGAATTTAAATTTTTTTTCATCTATATCCTTCACATGCCTACAGCATGAGACACTGTTAACTACCTCTTCCTTCTTTAAAATCTCTCATCCTTTATATTTTGTAATAATCTTCTTATTCTTTCCTTTCCTATATGAGAGCTTCTTCAGCATCTTTAAACAGCTCATTTTTTTTTTTTAACCCACCAGTTAAATATGACTGTTTCAAGCAAGGCTCTGCCCCTGAAGAGCTTTTTCTTTTCTCTCTTCCTTGAAGATCTGATTCACTCCCATGGTTTTAATTATCACTCTATAAGTGATTCCCTCCCAAATTGCTATCTTCCCTGAGCCATAGTGTCACATTTCCAATAGCACATTGGACATCTTTACAGTTCAAACATGGTATAGTGGATAGAGCACTAAACTTGGGAATCAGGAAGACCTGGGCCTCAACACTAAACTAGCTGCTTAGGCAAGTCACAACTTTTATATCTGTTTCCTCATCTGTAAAATGAAGGAGCTATGGCCCTCAGTGGCCTCTAAGGTCCCTTCCAGCTCTAAATATGTAAGAAGTCTAGAAAGCTGCTTTGGAGCCAGACTGTGAAGGTTCTTAAATGTCAGACTAAGGAGCCTATGGTGCTATGACCAAAACTGAACTCAGCAGCTTCTCCTACAAGAGCT